ATTTAATTTGCATTTTCAAAAAAGAATTTACCCTTCAGCAGAAGAGCACCAGGGCTGGGCATGGTCTGGGGCAAAATCGATTGAGGCTGATTGTCTTAGGCTTTCATTTGCTGGTGAAGGGTTGTCAGCTTAGACTGGAAACGACTAATAATTTTAGTTGCTGAAAGTATTTGTCTCTTGATTATCTCACTAGAGGCTTTTTTTTGTTTGTTTAATAATGTAAAGTAACAGGAAGGTAGTGTATTTTTAAAATAATGTTATAATGTTGGTAAGTTCAACATTACGGGAGTGTGCATATTCTGTGTTGTGTCGTGGAGCTTTTATATTCTTCACAGTAAAGACAGGAGAAAGCAGAAAGAGGAAAAAGCAAATGTTGTCTTCAGTAATGAACAACTGTGCTGGAGGGAGGGTTCTTCAGAAGAGCGAATAGCTATCTTTCAGCTCAAATGTTTATAGCTAACTGCAGGGCTGCGAGTTTGATGGTCACCCGTATCTGATATCCCGGCTTTAATAGCCTCGCCGGAGGAACGTGGTGCCGGTGTGACCCACCCAGCCCCCCCCGAACGGGTCCACCCCAACCCTGGCCGCCAGCCTCCGTGGGAGGACGACGTGACCTGCGGTAGACGGGGACCCCGAGAAAGGAAAACTTCACACCACCATAAACATTACCACACCCGACTTTATTAAAGTTTGAACCTTGAGCCTGGTTTGAAAATCTGTGGTAAATGATTAACGCAGAAATGGCTTTGCTTAAACAACTTGATTTCTACAGAGCTCGTTCCTGTAGCTGCATCTTCTTTTCTTTAAGTCTTTCCATTTTAGCCCCATATGTTTCCTTCACTGGAAACGATAAATGTATCTCTACAAATGAATAAAATTAGATTATATATAGTTTCTGAAAGTACCTGGGAGTGGAGCTCAGTACACTTAAAAATATAATGCCTTGCCTCCCAAAATAACATTTAATAAAAGTTTTTACAAATTTTGAACCCTTAAAATTTGGAACTTTTTTTCCTCTCTCATCTCTGCTTCTTGACATTTTCTTTTATTTAGATAAGAGTCATAGTCTGTCAGGTTTTTGTTGAGTTTAAAAACATTTCTGCAAATAACTGAAAGGTAACATTATTATTATATTATCTCAGCGTGTAACTTCCCTCCCTTACCTCTTCCTTAGGAAGTGGTTGTCTTTTACTGCGTATAACTTTATAGGTAAAAGATTTTATATTAAACCTCAGTTTGTTGCAGCTCTTGCAGGAGTCCTTATGCACCATAATCCCTCCTGTCCTCCGCATGTTTTAGGCAAGCAAAATTGTGTTTTACACAACCAGGGCACTGTCAGTGTCTGGTAGCTTGACACACAGTTACTAAATATTGGCCTTATCTGATATAGCCAGGCTTGAAAAGATATGCCAGAAGCCCAGATTAGATTGCTGGCTACTGCTTTATTAATCAATGTAATAATTTATTTTTAGTTTTGTAAGTCATATCATCTGTTTTCTTTCTCATATTACATTTTCTATGGTACTGGTACAGAAAATGAGCCGTGTTTAAACATCAAAGGTGATTGAAAAGTTTCAGTGGAATATGTTTGGTGCTCCCGCAGTTTCTATGACAGTTGATGAATGTTTCCTTGAAAATGCTTTTGTCAGAAATTTGTAAGGTAGAAGGAGTTTAATTTTTGTATCTAAATTAGCTGTCTTCAAAACTATGCATAGAAAGACATTTCCATCTTTTTCTGGCTTTAATCATTTTAATGAAATGAAGTTCTCAAGTTATATATTCCTTATTTAAAGTCATAGGCTCCCAGCCTGTATTCCGATGTTTAAACTGAGATTTTTAATAGAAGAAGAGGAGCTGGTGGGCCCAAAACTTGAGAAAATAAAGCATCCTACAGTAGTTTTTGTCCAGCCAGTGATTACTGTATTTAATGGGGGGGTTGGTTTGTTTTGGAAATAAGTGTTCTTTGGTTGGTTTTGGTTGTTTGGTTGGTTGTTTTATTGCATATGACACTATAAAATGGAGAAACAATTCAGTTCCTTTTTCCAAATGGATCGGTAAGCTGGAGGGGAACAAAAACAAAACAAAAAACAAAACAAAAATAAAAATCCAAACAAAAACAAACAAAAAAAACCCCAACAAACCAAACAACAGAAGAAAGTAATGTATGTATTGTGTGAAAGGAAGCAAAGCTTTTGTAGTCAAATTATTTGTCTAATTAGACAGGAAAACTGAACCAAGTACAGGTTCTCAAGCCTGACATTGTCTTCTCGTCTCTGGCTTCCTCCTGACACCGTAGTGGAACAGCAGACCTGCCCCGGAGCGAAGGAGGTCAGCGGGCTGTGGTGCTCGGTCAGCTGCCCTGGCAGCGGTGGGGGTCTGCTCTGTAGTTCTGCAGGCAACCCAAAGGACATGGAGACCTTACCTCTCTGAATACAGAGTAAGGCTGAGATCTGCTGGGAAAGGCAGGAGCACCCAAAATGTGCAATACGTGTATGGTCCGCGCTGAACACGGGCACCAGTTGCGTGGCAGGGAGGGGTCCCTTCAGCCAGAGGAGCTCAAAGCACAGCTCCATTGACTTGAGGTTGTAGTGTGCCTTTCTTCAACGTATGTGCCAGAGCTCAAGCTGTGTGTTAAGAAGGCAAGATTTCTGAAAAGGCTGGTTTGTATTAACCAAATACCATCATGCACAGCTTTGTGATAAGAGGCATAAGTAGATTCGAATTCTCAGCTTTCTTAACCATGAGGTTTCTTTTCCTGCAAACCCATAGCCATTAGTTTCTGCCAGCCGATTTCTTCGTTAGAGGAGATGGGGCCATGCAGATGACAGCTTCCAGCATTACAGTACTCATTCCTGGAGCACCTCCACACTGAGAAAGGCAGACATGTTTTGTAGAAATTAGGATGAGCATGTAATTAAAGATGCATGTTCATAAGGACATCAAAGAAATGTAACTGGGTTGAATTACATTCTGCCATTACTGGGATGTCGAGTGCTGGATTGTGCAACCTTAGTATTTTATTATAGCTTTCTGCTCTGTGAAAGAAGGCAAATTAATTAGAAAACACAGAAAACCCATCATATGGATCATAAACAGGATTACCATCTATCAGTGACTGCCACTTCAGTTGACAGACTAGCTAATGATGGTGGTCAGCCTCTTGGTGGAGTAACAGAGTAGAAGTGTTGCAGCATTTCACAGGTATTTTCTGAATGCAAAGGAGCAACGTGATGGAATTGAGTTCATTTCCACATTCTGGAAAGAAGGATTCTTTCCTGGGTGGGCTTTTTTCTTCCCTTTTTCCTCAAGGTTGACTCATTCTACTTGATTCCCGCTCCCAGCCTTTCCTATTTGAAGCCTTCACACCACCCATGTTCTGGTCTTATTCTCTCCTTCCCACAGCTATCCCAGCATGTTCCAGCTGTTGCTGTGTTCTTGTCTCTCCTCTCCTTTTCTGCTCTCTGCTCTAGCTTAGGTACAGGTCACCTTCCCCCCTAGCTCATATCGGACTCTGTTTTTTAGAGGGGTCTTATGTACCTTAGGTCTTTGCGTGCCTGTCCCATCTCATTTTTTTTCCCTAACACAAATAATTTTCACTTTTTCTGCCTTCTGGTTCCATATTTGTCAAAGTGTGAACTTCGTTGACACATTTATTCTGGTTTGATTTTTATCCGTCCCTCTGTATTTGAGTGGTAGGATTCCTGCTCCTTCTGCCTGCTTTTATTATTGAACTCCCTCCTGTATGAGCAAAACGCAACAGCAGAAGTCCTTGGAATCAGTGGACAGGCTGTTTCTCGGTTGCTCTCTGGGGATGGGGCATATGGAGATGACCTGTTCAAAAGCCTCCCAGGTGTTGGAGCGGTTTAATTTGGGCTGGAATTCTAAGGATTTTGTGAATGTTTCAGAAATATGGGGTTTGTTTTTTTTTTTAAATGTGTGACCAAATCTGGTCAGACTTCCTCGAGGAGAGGAAAAGGAATTTTCCATGCAGAAGCCAGCCCACGTACAAATGTTAAGCCCACATTGGGGAGCGTGGATGCTCTGGAGAGTTTCCGAGTAAAGGCACCAAATTCTTTTGGGGGGGAAAAAAAAAAAAAAAAAGTGTTATTTTCTAGCTTCATCTGGAAAGTGGCTGGAACCCTGTTGGATAAAATTTTCTGTGAAAATCACTTTAAGCATACAGTATAGAAATTGCATTTTAAAAGATCTAAAACTTTTGAAAATAAATTCAACAACCTGCCTTATTACAGGAGGTGTCGAGGCAGCCTTCAACAGGTAATGCGTCAGGTTTTGGCTATGTTGTTTACATGTGCTAAGATTAGCCCCTGAACTTTGGCACAACCAGTGTTGGCTCAGCCCTTACAATTTAGAAGCAGCTTGAAGGTGATTACGATAGATTGTTTATTGTTCCAAAAATGTTTTAAAAAAAAGGGGGGGGGTGTTAAAGAACTAACCTTTCATTTGTAGATGGCCTGTATGTTTATATAGGAAAACCAGATCCTGAAATTAAGAAGATATTCTTTTCCTAAAACAATGAAATGATCATTTATTACTGTAAATATATATCAATATATGGCTTAATTTGCACAGCTTCTGACAGAATAGAATCCTAGTAGAAAACTCTGTGATGATACTGGAAAGGAAGCTCTGGTAGGACTTGGTGCAGGCTGCAGGGAATGTGACTCTAATGAAAACAATATGGAATAAGAACGTGTTTTAAGAGTTAGTTTTCAAGGCTAGGATAATTGTGGAAGAAACTTGGCTTCAGAGCTGTGTCAGGGAAATAATCTTGACCTGGTCAAATAGGCCGTGAAAAATCCATACCACTTTACTTAGGTTTTAGAAAATTCATTGGTTAACTGTTTCAGAGTCCAGTGAATTTGTGTGCAGAACTGTAATATTTGAGGATAAGGGCAATCTCTTTCCTTGCAGTTACGAATATTATGTTTGCCGGTATCCCATAGATCTTAATTAAAAGCATTTTTTATGCTTTTTCTTAGCCCTGGAATGAGATCAGATGTAAGCTCTTCTCCATCCACAACCTCAGCAACTACGGGACCACCTCCCAAGCTTTGTCTGGTTTGCTCTGATGAGGCCTCTGGGTGTCATTACGGTGTTCTTACTTGTGGCAGCTGCAAAGTGTTCTTCAAAAGAGCTGTGGAAGGTAAGACATGTTTTGATGAGTTTGCTGTTTAAACATATAAAATCCAAATACATACCATCCACATTCAAACCCAGTCTATTTAATCTTACTGGAATCCATGTGTTGGCTAGAATCTTACTGGAAAATCCCATCCCTTATATCACTGATCTTTTTGTAGCAGATAACATTGATAATGGTGTGATTATCTGAAGCATAGATTCCATTTACATTTATAAAATGCTCCTATTCACTCACAGTATAAGAGGTTGTATTGTTGTCTTGGCTTTTTGTTTCTTTCGTTTTCTTTCACTGTTGTTTTTGTTTATTTGTCCTATTTGTTTACAGATATTTGCTTAGATTTGTAAAGTTTGTGATTTTTACATTTAATGTTAGCTGTTCTGTGTACAAAACTGTACATGAAACGTGATGCCTCTCTTGTACGCAAGATTATGATAGTTTTACAATTTTTCCTAGAATCTGTGTTGATTATATTCCATACATGTATACATGTGTTATTTGCAAGGGTAGCTAGATAACAGGAATGTGTGTGGCTTTGGATCATTGAGATTTCTGTCTAATCACAGGAGAAAAATTGTTCTAGAAAATCGAGGTGTTGGAAAATAAATGTGAATCTGCACAGCAGAATAAGTAATCTGTGATTTTTTGGGCTGCGTAAGTAGCCCTTATGTAATGAACTAGGTTGTACCTCAGTGCCTGGCTCTTCGCTTCAGTATCAGATGAAAAAGTTGGAGTATTTTCTCAGTGTCTCTGAAAGGACAGCGATTCCTCTATTCTGAAATGATGTCGTTCTTAGTTACAGCCTTACAGGGTTTCCTCTCTCATGCCTTCTTCATGCAGCCATTCCTGGGTTTTTTGAAGGGAATCAGACTGTCATTTTTTGCTAACATATTTGCAAGTTGTGTTTCACTGGCAAAGAGGGAAGGCTGTTCTGACAAAGACGAGCTGCCATTCAGGCTTTCAGAAGAAGCACTAACTCCCGTTTCCGAGCTCGCTGGATGCAATAGGGAGCTCCAAGGAAATGCAGAGCCTCTCGGAGGGATCAGAAAAGTCAAGTTCATATCCCAGTTTCTGCTAGTCACAAGGGGGAAGGATGTCAGTTCTGTGGGAAGCTGAAGCTGTTTCTGAAGTATAACAAGAGACAATATGAGCTCAAATGCAAAGCACTGAGCTGCTCGGGCTCTCCGTGACTCCCAACTGGTCTCGTCTGGAGTTGTGCTCCCATTTAGAGCCAGGCTCTTTATCTGAAGCAAATAATCATCTGTATCTTTGGTTAAAATAATGTCACTGGGTATCCCTCAGAAGTAGTGTATGACAGCTGAATATGTGTCATTGAGGATGGGCAAAACCATCTCTATCTTAAACAAATCACAAAAGTATTGATACATGAAGAAATCAACCCAGTAATTCCTTCTGATCAGTGATGCAACTTGCCACATGTTATATCAGCTGTATTAATGTTAAAAATATAAGTGGGATTGTAGCTGAAAAATTGCAGTAAGTTTCTCAAGGCTTACCTCTGCTTTCATTTTTGTTGTTCCATGGATTATCCCAACCTTAATCCTTCAGATTAGATTTTGTGGATGTTTTCAGGAGCTCTTCCAGGATCTGTTAGTTCTAGTACTCACTTTAAGGAACAAATAATTTGTTTTTGTGTCTCATAGGCATTTTTCTTATTAGGAACATATGTAAAAAGAATTTGTTTCTGTAATATCCTTTTTATTAATAGCTGCCAGGCACCTGTTAGTACACAGATCAAGCTGACTCTGCACATTGGTTATCCAGACTTCAGCCTGAAACCCTTTTTTGTAGCTTTGTCTACACGCATGTTTACTGTGACGGAAATAGTTACAGAAACTGAAAATATCAGTATCTAGAAAATCAATATAAAGTGTATTTCTTTCAGCAAAGAGTAGAACTAGAGGAGAAGAGGAGGGATGAAGGTGGAAGAGCAGCTGTATATTTATACACAATTCTTCATGTAAACGAGCCTTTTCTTCCAGAACCCAGGATGGCCAAAGCCATCTTGTTCTGGTTCTTATTTTCATGGTGCTTCAGAACTCGGAGCCCTTGTGATTCATTTTCTCTGGTCCCAGAATCAACCCCATTCACCTCCCAGCTTGTTACCCCCACCCTGCTGCCAACCCAGATCTTCACCACTCCTTGCCACCTCCGCTTCCTCGCCTTGCTTCAGATCCTCACACCTCCCCTCCACCAGATTCCCCCAACACCTCTGCCTCCTGCTGTGCTCCAGATTGTCCTCATTCTTCAGCATTTTTAATTCCATCTCCCAAAATCTTTTGTCTGCAATTTCTAACCTCTTTATATGCCAGTGTGCTTAAATGAGCAACGACTCATTCAGTCTCAGTTCGTCAGAGCCCCAGGTGCTGACCTGTGCTATGGGCACTGCAATGTTGAGGAGTGTCTGGCCTCTCTGTAAAGTGCTCCTATGTGCTGTAAATTCCCTTGGAAATCTCTCCATTTGCTCACTACCAATTTTTACCAGTGTTTTGTTTGTGAAGTATATTTGTCTGGTTTTTGAAATGCATTTTTTTGTGCAACTGCCATGTCCTCCGGGCAGCAGTCGGATGATGTGAAGCAGCAGGTAGAATCAACTTCCCTTCATTTTTCCACAAAATGTTCATGTGACGAGAAGGCTTTAATGTAATGTAATACAAAGAAATAGTGTAGCTTTCACCTAAAAAAATGCAAGAATAGGTAAGTAGTAGATACAAGAAATCAAACTACTTTCACAGAAATTAAGCTCTTTGTTAGGAAAAAAAAAAAAAAAGAAAATCCACACCACTGACTGTGAAACCATGGTCTCAGTTGAACATCTTTGTGAGACACGGAATAGTAGTCTCTGTTCTGCTACAGCGATGACAACTATTCATCGGTTTATGTTTCCTGTGTGCGCGTGTGTTTATTCTATATGTGTCAGTATGCTAATGGTGAGCAGAATCGTGACTCATGGATCTGTTTTCAAGTTACCTTAAACACAAAGGTGACGCAAGGGTCAGTAAGGCTTGAAATGAAAAAGCAAGGGGGTTCATTCAGAAAAATGTTCTGGGCTTCTTTGGAATATCAAGAAACTTGAAACACTTCACTGGAGATGTTTGACTAAAGCCATAGTAATGGGCTCTGCTTAGCCATCATTTTATCAGCTGACTTGAAACAAATTCCTTAACCATGCTCTTTTTCGGTGTGAAGACTCTTAGGCTCCATTGTTAATAACTCAGTATTTGGAAAATATGTTTGTTTCTCTCACTTCAGGACTTTGAAATGTAGTGTAAGAGCTTAGGTAGCAGCTTTCTCCCAACTAAAGAAACATCTGGGTTCTGATCCCTATCTGAAAGAAGGATTTATTTTTTAGTAATACCTTTCTTTAAAGTTACCTTGAGACAATTATTCATATCATTCAAATAATTAAGAATAGATAGTACTCTTGTGTTGTTCTGCTCTTACCAGCTAAGGAATACAGTTCTTTTAATTTATGTAGCTCGAGTTGCCGTATTTTGAGGGTCAGTTTTGCTCTGAATCTGTGAATCCATAAAAGTGTTGGAGAACTTAGTTTGTCCAGTTCGGCGTCTAAGTTAATCAAGAGGAGGTTTCGTGACTTCCAAGCTGATGAAGGCTATGTCTGTGTATCTGTAGAAATGGTGACATGTATACTTTCAAAATGTTATGGATGTTATTTACGTCTCTTGTGAAACTATTTAGGGAAATTGGAAACATGCTATAGAAGACAGCTTTGAGGAATGTCAGAGAAAAATAGTTTTAAATAGAATTTGCCTGATGTTAACAAATAGAAAATGGGATTTCTTCCTAAATTTATTGGCTTTGGTGTTGAGATATGAGAAACCTCTTCAGTGTACATATATGTGAAAACATATGGATACTGATCTTATTTTTGCAAGAAATGCAGCACAGTAATTAAAGATATTCTATAGTCCACAGATCCTTAACATTACTGAAAGAATGGATGACTTCATCTACTACTCTAATTGTAGAGCTTACGGTTATTTTGTTTGTCTTTGTGAATACAGGGCAGCACAACTATCTGTGCGCTGGGAGAAACGATTGCATTATTGACAAAATCCGGAGGAAAAACTGTCCGGCGTGCCGCTACCGGAAATGTCTTCAAGCTGGCATGAACCTCGAAGGTAACTTAAAATGCTCAAATCCCTTTTTTATTTTTGAGTCCTAGACAATAAAGGTCATGCTGCTTATGAAGCCAAAGCAATTATTTGAGCAGCACTTTAACGTGTTAAAAGTACGTACGGCATTTTATGGCACGTATGAGCATTTTAATGAAAAGCAAGATTTATTTTTTTTTACACTAGAATTTCTCCTATACTTTCCTACCCATACTCAATTGCTCTGTCTCTCGGTATGTTCAGCAGAAGTGAGTCATAGACGCAAAACAGAGTTATTTTTTATTCCTGTCAGCACATATATCATGTTGCTTTTTCACTGAATCTGAGACAGCAGAAGTCCAGGAGAACTCCTGTAGGAAAGTGTGACGCCTGCCCGTCCTTACTCAGGACGGTGACCTGACATTGAAACCACAGATGAGAGGGAAAGCCCAGAGACACAGATCTAAAGCTGGAGTGGGGCTTGTATCTTCAAACTGAAGAAAAGGAAATTGGTTTTGTTCATGCTGTGGATTCTTCTTAAATGTCTGTCAGGCTCTCTCTAGAAAAGAAAATAAAAAAATAAATTTAAATGTACCAGTACATATTTCTCCTCTACTAAGTCCTGGATGGCTTACAAGAAACTGAAGACCGCATCAACTAGAGATTTAGCAGCAGTTGTAAAATGGCATAAAACATTTTTTATTAGTATCAGCTACGTTTTATGCTTGATATTTTTTTCCTTGAGCTGTAGAGATTAATACAGTACTTACTACCATAGTTATCGTGGTGATACTTGTATAATCAAAATGTCAGATAAAATAAAAATGTCAAAAATGTATTTGTCAGATACAAATATGAACAGAGTTTCATTTCAGTCAGCGAAAATATCCTTTGGTAAGTGGTGAGTTATGTTAAAGAGGTAGATGATACTCATATTGGAGTCTATGTTAGCATGTCCTTTCTTCCTCTTCTGCTTCCAACCTCTCTCCGGAGGACGAATTGCCACTTTTTCTGCCCTGCAGGCTGTACATGCCCCTTCCTTGAGAGCAAAGGGAAAAAACCCAACAGTCTGCAAAGCTTCCCCTCCCATGACGTGCTTATGAGTACATCCCGTGCTTCGCGGTAGAGATCTGCAGGGAGGAGGGGAGGGAGGTTGCTGCTCGGTTTGTTGAGGTGTTACTGTGATCTCTGTGCAGGATGTGAGTTACATCTCTTAACAGCCAAAATCTACAATAGTGGGTTCTAAAATAAACCCATAAAGTACATGAAGTTGTCAACGATTGTCTCCCAGGAGCTAGATTTAGCTTGTCAGACACTCCCGGTGGGCTGAACCTTGCACTTCAGAGATAATAGCAGGGTAGCCCGCTTGGCTATTCTTGGTGTCCAAGGTGGAAAGATGCAATGCCCTGCTGGGGCAGGTGTGGCCACTAGCAAGCAGAGATAACAGTGAAGCCTAAAGAAAGTTCAGAATAACGCAGAAAGCCCACAAATTTCCTTTTGCAGTGGAAAAGAATCCATTTTGGTTTAAGACTCGTTTCTGTTTTTTCTCTCCGTACTTGTTTTCAAAATACATATATCATGTTCATCTGTTCATCTGTATGAATAAAGCACCTTATTTTGTGTATCACACTAATAGCAAGCCTTTCCATTCCTGCATCAATTTATGTGAACTCTTTCTAAAGTAGACACCAATGTAGCTATCTCAGGCTCTAGGATGCGTTATTTGAGTTGCCTTTCTGCACCAAAGAAAATTAAAATGGAATGACATCTGATACTTGCCACTTTTCTGCACGTAGTTTGGAGCCCATCCAACTATAGTTTGCCTGAATTTTGGAGCAGAGAATCCTAGAGAATGGTGACTTTTTGGAGGATGGATATTATTATTATGTAAGTTGTTGGAAAAGTGGGGGGCGGGGGGAAGCTTTTATGACTGAGAGGGAAGAGAGATCTAGAAACTCAGCAAAGCAAAAATGGAAGAACCCAAGGTAGTGTGAAACAGTGAAAAACAACCATGGAAATGACGATTTATCGGACAGTCCGGAACAGATGGTGAATTGGTCGTACAGCAGAACTCATAGGAAAGAAAACTGAAAGGCAGCATGAAGTGCAGAAGGGACTAAAAAAAAAAAAAAAGAGTTCCTTTAATCTTGGCTATTTTAGGGTCACAGTTCAGGAATTACTGTTGTTTAAAAGATAATTAAATTTGCATACTTCTTAGACGGTAATTTCTTTTTGAAAAGTCGTGAGGTGTGTTCTCAGTGCATAAATAGTACTTATATGCAAACCAGTTAATGAATAGCAAGAGATCAAAATATCGGAGCATGGCAGTCTGAAGCCCTTACTTGCTGGTAAGGCTTCTGCCATGAATCTGTCCAGTCACATTTTGAATATCTCTAGGTTTCTAATACCTACAGTGAATTTCAGTGCTAGGTAATGGGTAGAAGACTAACTTATTTTTAATTAAATAAAATCTACCATGCAGTGTTTTAATTCTTATCTGCTCTTGTGCTGAAACAAAAGTGGCTCCTCATACAGTAAAAACACGTTACTTGGTAATTTATTACTATAGTCTGGTGTATCCTCAGTCATAGCTTTGGCCCTACTCATGACCCTTTTCTGGAACTTTCTTGTTTCTTTTATTGCATGGGGTTTTGTGTCTAGGGGACTGGAAAAATATAAAACTGTCAAGCTGCAGGTACCAGAGCCTAATACAGTAAAATAATGATATTTTGTACTATAGCCATTATTTCTTTGAATTCTCATTTCCGCTTTTGTTGTTAATTGACCCTAGGCATTCTTTGGCACCCTTTCTTTTTCTGTTGTGTTTGAAAAAAAGATTTATTGATAGGTTTTATGCCTGTAAAAAGTAATCTCATAATTTTTTTGGCCTTTCATACTGCATTTTATAGTTAAACTGTTGGCAGTTGATAGGTTTTTTCTGTCGTCTTCGTTCTGAATTTATTTCAAGTTTTTGAAGGATCTCTTCCTCTTTCTAATATTCATTGCCCTGCTCTGTAACTGCAGTGGGTTTGGTGATTATAAATCCCATTTTAGAAGTGAGGTGCATGGTCTCCATGTCTGTCTGGCAGTGTTTGCTCTTCAGCCTGGTGGTGGGAACGCCTCCCGGGACGGTGAACCGCCTGCGTGGTTCCCAGTGCAGTCCATCTGCCCAACTTCAGGAAACGTGTGCAATAAAATAGGAAGCTTGTGATGCCAAACTGCAAGGGGGAGGTGTGGGATTTTGGGGGGCATTGTTTGTTTTGAACAGAAAACCTTGGATGCTTTTATTTCCATGCCGTGTTTATCTGTATGGATTATCTTCTGTAATTTGCCCTAAGGAGCTCATTTTCAGTTTGTGGTATTTTTATATTTGAAAATACATTGGAAAGAAATATATTATCTCAACCTTCTTTTTTTGTGAGTTACCACTATATATCTAAGTCAGGTCTAGTAGCATAGCCTAATAAAATTCTTACATAATACTTTGTCTTACTAGATCTATTTCTTTTGATTTTAATTTTACCAGACTTTTTGGGCTGGAAATGCTCCATACCAGGTGTCTGCATTAAGCTGAAGGCATGTGCCTGCAAATTTAAGTCAAAGCAGTTCATTTGCTTTTGAGAACGAGGATAATGGGGCAAAAAATGCCAAAATGTTGAAAGCATTTTGGAGCAGCCATTTCAAAATTTAGATGAGAATAACAAGCAGCTCTTTGCTCCAAGGAAATTACTGTTGCTATTCCCCCATGACAGTCTTGGCAAATGTGGCCACTGTGGAAACCTTTGGGAAAATGGGATTTATACAAGGTCCGTAGAGAATTTCTCATCTTTAGCAGTTAGTTCCTGAAGTCTCTGTCCTAACCAGTGGGAGAAACGGGGTCGGGAGGGGTATTTTATATGTTGTTAAGCTACAGATCTGGTGCATTTCTGATGATCAGAGATTCTGAATAGGTCAGTAGAAACTTTGAATGTGAAACCACATTACATGATGCTTTTCTATGCTACTGATTTATCTCGGAAGTTCCAGAACAGAAATCAGTTAATTAATTGAAGCCCAGGAGAAGAACCGGGTTTCATTTTGGTCTCGGTTAAATAGTGCGTTTGGTGTAGCAGACTGCATCCCGGAGAGCTGAAAGGCAAGTGGGAGACTCCGTTATTGACAATACGCTAATAAAAATTGTTGCTCCAGCTTTTTGTAGTTTACAGTTAACATCTCTGTGTGATGTTTTATTTATTTGGCGAATGAGTTTTATGGTTTAATTACGCAGCAATGATTTATAGGCAAGAGGGTTGGCAAGAGAAAAATCTCCTCCTGCCCAGCATTTTCAAAAAAATGTTTTCCCTGGCTCGAGAGACTGAGCAACTTCTTACCCATTAAATATATTTTTTCCTTTCCTCTGTATGTTTTCTGTACTTAATATTTTAAGGAACTTGTAAAGCGTGCAGTCCTGCAAATTTTTCCAAACAGGTGTCACGCTGTCACGTGAATTTTCACTGGAATTTTGCACGTTACAGAAGTTGTAGGGTCAGGCCTTGTATTTGTACTACCTGCAGACATTATTTAGCATTTTGAAACATTGACATAAATGTGACTTTCATTAAAACGTAAAATAAACTTACTTTCGTGGGAAGCTTAATTAGATTTGAAGTGAAATTATTTACAGATTTATGAAAAAAAGCTGTAAAAGTTTCAACTGCCTGATGTACAAATGCAGGAAAACGGAAGCAGCATTTCCTCTGTTACATTTTTATTGCTGTGTGGTCACTTTCCATTATCTAACCTGTGACTTACCAAAACTTTCCTAGCTCGAAAAACAAAGAAGAAAATAAAAGGAATTCAGCAGACTAGCGCAACGGGAACGCAGGATGTTTCTGAAACGCCTGGCAACAAGAGCATCGTTCCTGCGTCCCTGCCGCAGCTGACCCCGACCCTGGTGTCCCTGCTGGAAGTGATTGAGCCAGAGGTGCTGTACTCGGGCTACGACAGCTCGGTGCCAGACTCCAGCTGGCGGATACTCTCGACCCTCAACATGTTGGGAGGACGGCAAGTAGTAGCTGCAGTAAAGTGGGCAAAGGCAATACCAGGTAATACGCAAATACATTAATGACAAAGCGCGGTCTATTTATTGTACTTAAAAAATCTGTCTTTGTATTTGGTATCCTTCAAAGCCTTCACAGAGAAAGGTTTTGTAATGTCTGAGCTAATTCGTGTCTCAAATACACCTAGAGTGGAAAAGCAGAAAAACACAGATGAAAAAAATTATTTACTAGGTTTACAAGTTCAGTCACTTTACTTGAACCCTTTGACCATTGAGTGTTAAAATTCATATTACAATAGAGATTTGTTTTTAAAAGTAACAGAGAGAACTATTTTTATTAGCTCTAGCTGCACCTCTTAGATACTTATTCCTTGAATATTTTTAGCGGCAAGGTTCTCTTGACTTTTATAGGCTGGTGCTGCTGTACTGGCTTGTCTGGATCTGCATTCATGGGTGGTTCTGGTTTTCACTACCCCTCACCATATTTGTAGGTTTTTTTCTTGACCAGGAATAGGCGTTTGAGTGTGCAGTCCCATAGGGGGAGTTAAGATGTTCATTTTCTCTCAAGCACTGTAGCTAGACAATTAAACTGACTGTCATCTGGGGCATGTGGAAGGTCTGTTGCTGGTTTGGCTCTCGCCTGAAGACACAGGTAGCAGTGGAAGTGATGTCAAATCTCAGCCTTGGACGTAACACATTGCATCCCATAGTACATCTTTGGGAGAGGCCAGGGCCAAAAGTAGAGCTGAAGATCTGTTTATTCCTGACAGAACAAAGACTAGTGGTTTTCTCCCTTTCGTTTCTACTCAGCACCATTAGCTACCTGTTTTCAAAAACCCTAGCAAAAACACCTCCATAATGCCCAAGAATAACATCGCTTAACAGGTCTGCCAAGAGAAAAAAAAGAAAAAGTCTGGTAATGAAATTTCTGAGTCATGATGGTGTCTCTGTTGAGGCGGGGGAAATAAAGTAACAGCAGGAAAGAAAGCCTAGTAAACTCAAATGTGTATGTCCAGCAGAGATGGGAATAGAGAGATTTGTATGTCTGTCAGGGTTTTTCTGCAGTGGGGAATTACGCTGTATTAGCTAAGGTCTACGTTAGTAAGAGTTCACATGCGCACGCTTTCTTCTGGGGCAACTCTTAGGAGAACATCTGGTATTGGCAAATACAAATTTAGATACCATTTTTATAAAACAGTTCTGTGTTCATAATCTCTTCTGAACAGTTTAACTCATTAGACAAACTCTTCAGGTTAGCACATATGCTCTTAAGGAAAATGCCAATCTTCTCTTTAATAATTATATTAACAGGAACTATTCTTATAATTTATTTATATTCCTTTTTTTTGGTTGCTAAGGTGGTTCTGCGTGAGTATTTAATTTGTATACGCTGCTGCTGGTTGTATGCCATCAGACGTACTAACAGTAAGCCAGCATTGGTTGCTAAACCCTTTGGTTGGGATTTCAAAATAGCCTTTTCCTGAGGAGGGTTTGAGCAAAGATTTCAAGATTATACCCAGTAAGTTTGAAATAACTCTGAAACACTTGGCTTGTATTTTAGAAGGAGTAAATGGTAGTTACTGCTGTCGCCAAAGCCAGAAGGTTTTCTTAAAGTTGTTAGACATACCAAGTTTTGTTACATGTTAACCTACTCAATAAACTTCTTCGGGAAGCAGCACTGTTATGAACTCTTTAGATGTCAGATGATTAATAAAATTAAATAACATGAACTTGAATTCAGACTTCAATAATGATTCAATGTGGCAAAATATTTTCTTGCTAAATATAGGCAGGGTCTGATAGGAACTAGTGTTGCAAATTAAAAGCTGCCTATATTATAAGATTGATTAAGGGACAAATATTCAGATTTTACACATTTCCTCATTGTTTAATTGGCTCTGTTCATACTACATATTCTTATAAGATTAGAAGCAGTTAATGATGGTAAGTAATGCGATACACATTTTGTAAGTTCAGTGTATGATTGATTGTTGAATAAGAGCAAAATTTGTCATTCAGCCATTTATTGTCTAGTGGACTGCTCTCTCAAAAGTGAGAAACACTGTTATTTTTGGAAGATAGCCGAATGAATTAGAGTGTATATTAAATGTACTTGTTTTCTTTTGTAACCTAACCGACCATCAGTTCCAGATAAGCGCACACATACATTCTGATTGTTTTAATACTACATCCCCTTTTAATACCTGTAGTACCTACAGAGAATTACCCATCTGGTACTCTGCCCCTCCACAAAATAACTAATGTCATGCTTGCCAGAGCCCAGGGCTTTCGGTGTGCATGCACTTTCGTAGGTGGGTGCTGAGAATTTGTTTTGGAAATGTGACTATAGAGTACACTGCAAAGTTCAAGCGTTACTCTTTGTGTCGCTCTCTTTGGCCTGTGTTTCTGTGCTGTATATGTTTTGTATGGTTGAGAGTTACAGATTCAAACCAGCTCGAGGCTGAGTTGTACTGAAGCTCCGGTCTCATATGTAGTCCTATTGTCCAGAAGATGTCATTTGAATCCTATGGTTCCAAACACTAAATATCTACATATGCAAAATTTTGAATAGGCAAAGGATTCCTTAGTGGTATGCTAAGTATTTGAATGTAACCTTAGTAGCTGGAAAATGGTGTTGAAATTTTGCACCCCTTTTAAAGCGCATTTTTTTTATTCAACAAGAACTTTCTTGTAAGAAACCTCTATCTTGTTCTAATTTCTTTTTTTCGTCTGCTAAAAATCAAATCTAAAATACAGAAATACTTGCCTGAATCAGATGTTTGTAATATGGCAATAAATTTTGTTGTTATTTCAGGTACAGTCACCACAGTTAAAGAAATTGTTATCAAATAGACTTTTCAAAGTGCTAATCTGCACTGGCAATACAGAAGCTGTGCTGATGAGAAGATAGTCCTTTTCACAGTTACAGTTCTTTCCTTTTTTGCAACCAATACTGTCAACACCTCAATTTTTTTTTTGTTTTTTCCAGGTTTCCGCAATTTACATCTGGATGACCAAATGACCCTTCTGCAGTACTCCTGGATGTTCCTAATGGCTTTTGCTTTAGGATGGAGATCATACAAACAATCAAATGGAAATCTCCTGTGCTTTGCACCAGATCTGATTATGAACCAGTAAGTAAGACATGAGTCATTTTCCAGGTTTCTCACGGTGATACGAGATTCCATGCAGTATTTCTGGGTTTTGCACTTGAGAGGTGAATCACTGTAGCAAATTCTTGCAGAGATCACAGATCAGTCTGTCATTTGCAGCTTGTTTTTCTTTTAGCAGATTGCTTAGAGTTTTTAAATAATTCAAATGGAAGAAAGGTATTTTAGATATTAAGTGTATTTATATCAAGAAGTTTTTGTGGGAGGTGTTTGTACTAAAATGTTCCATATTGTGACTGTTCCTGCACCATTCATTATAATCATTCATTTTATCAGAGCCAGCACAGTTGAAGCTAAAAATATATCTGGGACGGAGAGAAAAGTTTGGCAAATTGCATGATGTTAGCTATGTTTATTGTATAAAAGCGATTGTACGGTCCTACCGGTTTCACAGAGTTCTTGATCAGTTAAACATACATATATATATATCTGAGCCTGATTAAACTCTGGCTAAAAAGACAAGATTACAAATGGAGAAACTTGTCTGATTTTTTTTTTTTCTGAACTTTGTTAGCAATTTTCAAGAAAAGTTGGAATTTGCTAGAATATTCGGGCATCTTTCTTCTTGCACCATCCATCATTTTCCCTGCATTTTTCAAATTCATGTTCTGCAGTAATTCCACATCGGGGAGGATCGAAAGGGGGAGTTTGGGATTGTTGAGGTGATGGGCAGAAGGCTTGGTTTGAGATTTGGCAGGTATAAGCATTCTGCGCAGACATACACATAACTATATGAGGTTCCATATGCTATTTCAGAGGTGCAGTAGCAGATCAGGTTAGGTTATGCCTTTCTGTCCCCACTCTGGAGAGCAAACACTCCCATGGAACCCTCTCCTGCAGGGGTGTGTTTGGCAGTCAGTCTCCATGGACTGTCGCACTCTCCTGCCTTTTTGAAGCCATTTCGGCGATGGTGTCGTTCAGCTCATACTTCAAAAAGCAGTTTCTTCAAGCGGGTGGAAGAACGTCTGCGTAGTCTGTAACAAACCTTTCAAGTGATCTTTCAGACTTGCAATTCCAGTGTGGCTAGCGATATTTATAAAGCCTGTCAAGGCATTTTCTCTGTATTCTGAACTAGTGCTGAAAATACTCTGTGGATGTAATCTTTGAGGTTGCTGGCCAGAGCCATTCAAAATCCAGTTTACCTGCCTGCGGGCTCCAATGAATTCAATGCTATCGCTGGGGATTTGCCATTTCTTTTTTCATGAAATGGCATAGTGCATTTGTGGGGACTAAAAAATACAATTACACAGTGCCTTTGACGTGTACAATCACAAAACTTCATTAGCATCACAGTTTCACTGACAATGATTTGAAAAGTCATGCAAGTGACAAGGTGTCATTCATGTCTTGGTTTTTCTGTCTCCAAAATGGAGGCAATACTGATCCCTTTGGCATGTTTTGAGACAGTTCTTCATATTTTTGTTCCTATTGCACTTCAGTATTGAATCTCCCAAACGTTTTCTCAGTTTAAAAAAAAAAAAGAATTATTACATTTTCTGAGATTAGCCATTTTCATTTCACACTACTACTTTTTCGTGATGATTTATTCACTTTATTTTTTTCAGTGTAAATATTTTTCCAGGCTTTTATAAACTCTGATTGTTTCTTTATTATAAATAGTTTTCAAAAAAAAAAAGGTGAGGGGCAGAGGACGGATGTGTCTGTGTACTTATGTTTATTAAAGTTCTTAGAATATGTCTCTGGAGTAAAACAGTCCCCATGTGGTGCAATTGAAATAACAGATATTGTCACTAATAAGCATAATAACATCTAATTTGCTTCAAGTCAGAGGTCTCCTGCTGTTTTATCAATGAGTCAAAACCACAGAGCTTTACAGCAAAGTATATGTCGGTATTCCTACAAAAACCCTGCAAGGGTAATCCTATTATGCTAAATACTCATTTTCAAATTCATTCCAGTTACAGTTTTGGTACATAAATTGTTTATCAAAATGACATTTGTTTTCAATAAAATATGTAGACTGAGAGGACTGTGGGTTTTTTTCTCCAGTGTGCAACAGGTTCCCCATAAAACTCTCTCTGGTCGTAACTTTTTATGTACCATTCATCAGTAAAATACAGCCACCTCTGAGTTAAACATGACAAATCCTGAATAATACATAAAACCACTGCCTGAGTCGCAAGAAGCTTATGAAGCGCAGTACCGCAGGGAAAGCCGGCGGGGCAGTGCCAAGGGGGGGGCGTGCCTGATGCTCCTATTATGCTAAATACTCATTTTCAAATTCATTCCAGTTACAGTTTTGGTACATAAATTGTTTATCAAAACGACATTTGTTTTCAATAAAATATGTAGACTGAGAGGACTGTGGTTTTTTTCTCCAGTGTGCAACAGGTTCCCCATAAAACTCTCCCTGGTCGTAACTTTTTATGTACCATTCATCAGTAAAATACAGCCACCTCTGAGTTAAACATGACAAATCCTGAATAATACATAAAACCACTGCCTGAGTTGCAAGAAGCTTATGAAGCGCAGTACCGCAGGGAAAGCCGGCGGGGCAGTGCCACGGGGGAGGCGTTGCTGATGCTAAAATGTTGGGTACGATGAGAGAGACATCATGGACATCAAGAAAAAAAAGTGCTTGGATTTTACTGACAGCTGTGTCTGCTCTCTTTGCTTGACACATCATCCAAAAGATAGCGCTGCAGTACATAACATCCCCTAAAAACCATTCAGGTGTTTATTCAGTGCTCCTTCTCTGATGTGAATCGTAGTGATCTTTCGCCCAAACAACTCCCTAAAGCTCTTCCTTAATGTTTTAGGTATGCTAGGAACAGGTCCAAGGTAGAGTAACAAGTTAACTTTATGTGATGTAAGAATCAGATCTTCACCAAAACCCATTAACCCTTATAAAATAAACAGGTAGAGTAGCATCCTCTACAAGTCAAAACAACTCTGTTATTTGATAATTCTAAAAACAATTGTAATATTTAATAACATTACAGTGAATTCTCTGGAATAACAGGAAAAAAAGTGAGTTTCCCTCATAAATTTTAAAGCTTGATTCCACTAAATACAGTTACGCATAGGTGTTGCGTGTCTAACAGCATCGGAACCTTCATTTTGATTGTCTGGAATCTAGGATCGTGGTCATTTTTACAGTTAACTGAAGCCTCAGATTTTTGGCTTCCTGTTCCGTAGTTTCAGATTTCTACATGCAGATAGGTATAAGTTGTCCAGACTTGTAATTTTTGAGATCTGCAAATGCCATTTCCACAGGTCTGTTCTTTATATGAACATTTTTCATTTGTAACTTAAGAATTTGCTCTGGCTTTGTATCTATTAATTGCTGTTTCAAAGCATTATTTCAGTGGAGGACTAGAACAAAATTATACGTCTTTACCCAATCTGTGTTAGAATACAATAATTCCAGGAGGTCTTCCCTCTCTTCAAGCCACAGCCTTTAGCTTGACAATGTACTTGTTTTTCTTAAACTGAAATATAAAAAAGGTGAGGAGCTGGCAAAAACTTCCAAGCCTCACGTGAGCCCCTCACGCAGACTTGGATCATTCCAGCCTTACAAAATGTGGCAGATATTCATGTGGATAGGTTTTCAATCCTGTTGTGTAATTTGAGTTTACACATCAAACAAAATTGTATGAATCACATTATGCTATAAGTGATAAACGCCTCACTGTGTATATGGAATTATACATATTCAAATCTCAATTACTTTTCACTCAAAAAACTCCTTTAATTTTACTTATAAAGAATTGACCCCCCAGAAGGGTGATAAGAAAAGTATAGGTGTTATTGCATACAATGTAAATCAAGAAATGGAACAGAGAGGCATCTTATAATCACGTTATTTCTTTATATTCCTTTGTATCTTCATTACAGCAATAAGCTAGGGTTGGTCTCGGAGCACTTCCTCTGTGCCACCGTTACCTGTAGCTTGCAGCAGCGTAACACAGGTGATGAAGTATTCAGGAACGTGGATGCAGGATGAGTTACGGAGTAGTGGTTGTGGAGAAGTCAGTAACACTTTATATCTGCTGCCGAGAGCTAAGGTTGCATAGCTAATGTTAATGGGGGCAGGGGGAATAATACATAACAACAGAGCACACAGTGCCTTCCGTTGCGTTAGTTGTATGGTTACAGATAAGTGCAGTTACTTCTCTTTCAATTTTCTTGGAGTTTTATATGGGTTTATAGAAACCATTTCTTTTCTTCAGTTCCTGAGCTTTTAAAGACTTGTCCTCATTGTTGGTACAATTCAGTGCCTTCAGCTTCAGGAAGAGAAGCTCTTTATCTTTGAAGGGTTCTCCAAGCCTTGGTGATTTAAATGGACATAACTGCAAAATATTTCTTTAAGATTGAATTCCTTATGGGGATAATAAGACTTTCTTTAGTTTCATGTACCTGCTGAAGCGTCTGAGCACCATCAGTCTTTAATGCATTTATCCTTGCACCAAGCCTGTCCAGTGTTACTCCTGCGTAGGTACTACTTACTTAGAAATGGAGTAGCAAGATCTGCTAGCTCACGTCGATGCTTTTCAGGCAACTGTGTGTAACTGGGCTGTACATAAAGAATCCGTCTAACCCGTTAGGAGGTTTGCCATGCTACATTTTCCACTAACAGAGCCTTAGCATTTGTAAGTGTCTTGCCATGAATGCACAAAAAGCTTCCCAGAAATCGGTGGATTGGTTTTGCATAGTGCTCAGGTCGCTTTAGCGGTGGTAGTGCTGAATGCCGCTGTTCATTAGCACCATTGTAGATTCCTTCATAATTGAATTTTCCAAGTATCATCGATGAAGTCTGTGGTGGGAAAGAGAATTAAACGCTGTTCTTCTTAAGTCTTAAGCTGGCAGCCTAGTCATTTGACGAGTCTTCTTCTAAAAATCGAATAGTTATTGAATGTTCCATTTTTATATCTGTACTCCGTGATTTATTCAGGGGGATGACAAAACCAAGAAGAAAATCATCCAATATATTTGAATAATGTTTGTAATAATAATATAATATCACATATTGGATTATATTAATTATTAATGTTATATTAATAACATAATATCACATATTGGCTATGCTAAGTTAATACGTCTAATAGGTTTGGGTAGGGTGGATTATAAAGTCCCTGCGATAGGAAAATAAATTATTTCCCATGGCATTTGTTGAGTGCAAAAAGGTTGACCATACGTACACATAGCACTGTTTTCACTTCATATGCCTATGCTGCATCTGTATAGCTTTTAATTTGTTTGTCTACAAAACCAAAAAGAGGGAAAGATGAGTTTCTGAAGACCCAGCTGTCATTTCTGCAAGGATACAGGTCACTTCATCATTCTTCCTGCTTCCATTTTTTTCTGAACTCCCGGCTATTGCAGTTGATCCAGGTTTCTCAATGAAAGCATCTCCCAAGCTAACGGTGGGAGCTGGAGGTGGGGCGGCCCAAGCAGCATGCTGCAGGTGCTCACCCGATGAGCAGTGGCCCTTGGCCAGTTCCTGCCTTGGCCTTCAGCTCCAGACCTGGGCAGGAAAATGGGCAACATCTAGAGCGCCCTTACGGTCAATAACCTGTTGGGTGGTGATTACTGCTCCATCCCCTTTCTGCTTCAGTCGGTAGAAGAGCTGCCACTGAACTGCGCAGGCACACCTTAGTCCTCTAGCGTGTAAAATTGGTGTTTCCTTCCCCAGCGAATTCTCTGAGCAGGGAGAAGCTACAGAGCAGCCAGTGACAGCTTTGCATCCCCACACAGGTGGTGGGAGAGAGGAGCCTTATTCAGCCCTTCATCAAGGGAGGGGCAAAAATGTATTATAAGTTACTATAAAGCTTCAGGAAATATTTTAATTTACATTTCCGTATTTCATTTCTGGGTAGAAATAACATACTTCAATGGATTAGTGTGTGACTGTTCAGTAAGCTCGCCATTTTACATTTCAAAACAGTATCTTTTTTATGGAAGTATGTCTTTGTCAGCTGGTAATTTAATATATATGTATTTATATATATATATATATACACACACACACATAATACACACAGAAAAAACTCAAGTTCTTGAAGAGCTTGGCAGCTTAATGAATCTCAGGCTTTAGACCATCATTTAGTATTTGGAGATTGTATAAACCTGTGATTTTGCTGTATTGTATAACTGCTTCCGCAATTTGTGATTCAAAACATGCTTTTGTTGGAGTTGGCACTGTTATGGTATCAGCTCTAGGCCTCTATTTGTGTCACAGTGTACATGAAATTACAGCGGGCAACAGTAACTATTGCACAGTTGTGTTCATCGAGCAGCAAATGACGTTTAATTGCTGCCTAGCTTTAGGAAGAAGTTCTTGGAAGTCCTGTATCTTAGGACTTTGACTCTGCCTTCGTGCTCATCGTCGTAGCTCTTTGCTCTTCTTTAGGTTTGTGGTCAACTCCTTGGTCTCATTTGTCCTTATAATAATAGATACCATGCCGAATATCTGTATTGGTGTTACTCGAATAGAAAAAAAAAAAAAAAAAAGTGATGACAGTTTTATAAGCAATATTTTATCAGTTCTCTTATTCTCAGAATTTTTTTTCTGAACATCCAGTTCTGTGGAGTTGGTATCATCTGTTTTTCAGAATACCAGCATCTTGTTTACTGATTTTTATTCTTTTATAGACTTAGCTGAACTGAATGACTCACAGCAGTGTTGAAAATTATCACATGCTTTTATCATCAACATGCATCCCCCACAGAATGCATATGTACATCCCGTGTACGTTACATGGGCTTCTATTGAGCTAAAACTTATAGCTAATGCCCAACGCGCGTCGTCCTTTTGGAGGCAACCAGCTACAAAAGCAGAGGAACATTCGATACTTACAGAACAAGAAGGTGATTCAAATCAGACTAGATTTACAACCGCTAAAGCAGGATCACTTCAAAAGTGATAAAATGCTGTTAGTCAGCCGTTTAATTCTCAATTTGTATGAATGGCGGTAATTGTGCAAAAGCCTTGAACTGCTGCGATCTGCCCCGTGTCACCCGGGAGCTCCCTGGGGCTTCCCCAGGGCCTCAGCACTGGCTCTGCCTCCCACATCAGTGGCTCCCGAGCTTTTGTAGAGCACAGGCAACAGCCAGACCTCACAGCTTCCCCGGGATCACCAGCCCTGCTTACCACCAGAGCTCTGCCTGAAGACTCCGCGAAGTCAGTATGGTTCTGTAGATAGGTTCCGCTGAGACAAAATCACGTGTGATGTCATCGCTAAGAATGTTATCTATTTTAATTAGCTAAGTATAGTATCTAGTTTAAGTATTATATTTGGTTTATGTGTGGGTAAGTTAATTGATAAGGTTGCTAAATGCCCTCTGTAGGGAGGGGTACCAGTGAAATGGAGCAGGGAGTAAGAAGAGAGCCCTGAAGCCCCTGCTCTTCCCTGGATCTTTGGTCCGTGACTCAGCCCGGATCCTCAGACAAGCTCCCTCCGTGCACAGCTCTGTGGCAGCTGAGATCATCTGATGCACTCTGGTCAGGAGATCCACGAGGGGAATGTCTGGGACCTCTTCCCAGACCCTTCGCCAGCATTAAGGGCTATCCAGTGAATCAGCTTCCCTCTTGTTCTGACACAGCCTGGATCCGCTGCCCTCCAGGGCATAGAGCAGAGCTCATCTGTGCACTCAGGCTTCTCTGAAAGGGTCGGTGGGGCTGTGTTTTACTCTCATGTTTTGAGAACTGCAATTTGCGTAGCCTTGGTATTACCAAAAACGTGCACGTCTTCGTATAGATTCTCAGATTTGCGGTGATGATTGCATTTACAAGAGATAAAGTAAATGACAGGCTGACCCGTTTCATAATGTTTATTTTAACCTTCTGCCCAGAAATGGTAATAGTTTTACACGAGGAGAACTGCTGAGCCCTGTCACAGAATGTGTTTAAGTTACTCAATTTGAAATATGTAAGATGCCCTTTGATACAACCCAGAGGGCTTAGGAGAAAATTTGCCAAGCAGCCCAACAGTGGCTTTGTGTCAAGTGCCCTGAGAAACATCCTACAACTGAACATCATACGCTTATTCCTACCTCATGCCACTTACCTCGTGTGCACTTTGTATTCTCAGGGTTACTCCTTGATTACTGAAGTCTAACATAGCGCCAGCGTTTATAGGTTCCTGTACGTGCATGCATGCGTATAGCTGTAGGTACCGTTTGTGTGTAAGGCAGTGCCACACATGCTCCTGTTACGCCCAGAAGGAATTGTCCAGCAACGTCAACTGGAAATGATGGGGGTTTAGACTTGTACTTGATTTGGTTTTAATACAGTTTCAATAGCTTGTATTTCTTTCTGCCTTCCAAACCCCCTCTGAATTCCTGTTATTCTTAGGTTTTTGCACCATGGGAAAGGGTGCGTGTTTCTTCTTGTTTTCACTTGGGCCTTCTTATGATGACTGCGAGGGTACGTCGTATAATTCTCTTGCAGGGCTAAGAAAGGGAGAACTGAAAAAATGATAGCAGCTGTGGAGGAATTGGTGCCATTTCATGACCAAGTCTTACTCTTAACTTACACCGGGATTCAATTTTGTCCGTGTCTTTGTTTAGATTGTAATATTGAATAGGTGATGTCCTAGAAAAGGTGACACGTCATTAACGAAGAATAAATTGCCAGCATCACTGTAGAGAGATTGTGTAGTCATTGCATTTTGAAATGTGCTATTTTGCCTATGTTCTTCTCTACAGAAGTTTATGTGGAAAAGCACAAATCTCTCTTGCGCTCTTCAGAATTAATCTGTTCTTGTTGTTCATTTCCAACCCAAAACTGTAATCCTGCAGTGTTCATGGTAACCCACTATAAAAGCACAGGTAAAGAGGATTGTTGCCTCACCTGAGGTACTAAATAAAGGAAGGAGTTCCTGTCTTGATGCAGGTTTTCATTAAAATAGAAAAAATAAAAGGAAAAGAATATATAAATACATAACGTTTGTCATTCTGATCCCAAGTGCTTTCCAAGATTGTCCTTTGGTTGTTGACATGTCTTTCTATTCATGGTTAGAAACCTTACTATTGCCATAGAAAGGTGATGAAATGTAATTGCAGTCGCTTTAAGAATGTAAAAGGATACGAGAAGTATAAAGTCACTTTGAAAATTGAGAAGTTTTGGGAAGTTGATGCTATCACTAGTGATACATATTAGATAGAAATACGTATTAAATGTAGGCGGACTTCTCAAAAGTATTGAAAGAATTAGAGAAATCTCTTCTCCAATATAGTACACCATCACATTTCTTTATACAGAATAAATACTTTGGGACCATCAGACTTGGAGAACTTTGTCATACAGTGACTAAACTTGATTTTTCTGTCAAGTTTGTGCTGAACTGTTGTGTTGGCTGTTGATGACAGAGCTTACTGGTCGGTCCTTGATAAAGACAGGCTTCCTTTATAACGCAGGGTTTTCATACGTCATGCTCCCCTCGTGCTGTGGTTCTAGGCCAGTGTTTGTATGCGGTGACCAAGGCAATTGCCCTGAATGGGTTCACTGGAGAAAAGCAAAGATTGTTTTGCTGCGAGATAGATCAAGTACTAGCTTGTCATCTGCCTCTGCAACCCCCGCTGCTCTTGAATAAAGCACGGAAAAACTTAGATTTAGAATTTTTAGGTAGCTAGACATTTAACTAATTTTGATACTTGTATTTCTCAGGCAGAGAATGAATCTACCCTGTATGTATGAACAATGCAAACATATGCTTATGGTTGCCCGAGAGCTGTCGCGGCTTCAAGTCTCATATGAAGAGTATCTCTGCATGAAAACGTTGCTTCTCCTCTCTACAGGTAGGTGAATAGTTAAAATACCGATGTGAAGAACGTAAGTTTAACTTGCCAGTATTATGAGTGTGCCTGTGTAGTTTAAAAATATGTTATGTATCTGATACGAGATTTCCTATACGATCCTCTTCTTTGCAGTAAAAGTCAGAATATTCCACTTGGCACCTGACTATATAGGGTTAGTGGAGGAAGTTCTGCTTTTAGCAGGTACAAGACAGTCATGCTAAGATGTTACGAATTGTGTTCAGAACTTTCTAACTTCCACAGAGAGGCCTAACTCAGAATTGCAATTTAAAATTCTTCAAAAATACATCACAGACTGAATGAGTAGTTCAAGACGCAAAGAAATGGGCAAAGCTTATGACTGCATGCCCATGAAATACATAATAAAAAAAAAAAACCAACAACAACAACAAAAAAAACCCAAAAAAACAGCAAACAAACAAAAACCCCAACCACCACCTGGGGGGAAGTTCTGATCCAGTGAAGCAGTTTCCTCCAAAAAAAGTTATCAGACTCCCCCAGAAGTTACTGAAAGTTGTTAAATACAGCTTTTTGCATCTGCATCTAAAAAGTATTGGTGGATTTACGATTGATATTATAAGGTTGGTTTATGTAATATCCTACGCGGTGGTTGTTATGTCTTTCAACAGGACATGCAGTAGTTAAAACAAGTCACGGCTTTGTAAAATTCTGTTGTCTGTACTGCATGAAAGGTCAAAGTACAGTGTCAAAATAGCCCTTTTAGAATATACAGAAATGAACTGAGACATTACGCAAATAACTTTTATGATGTTATTTTTACCCTGTATTCATACTCGTTGGTACCTAGTGACTTTTTTCTCCTCGTGCGCAGTAGGGCCGTAGCCACCTGAGGAAGCTGAGCTGTAACCCTGGCTCCCTGGTAATCCAGGGGCTCTCTGTAGTAACCCTGGCTCCCTGGCAGTCCGGGGGCTCTCTGTAGTAACCCTGGCTCCCTGGCAGTCCGGGGGCTCTCTGTAGTAAAGAGCCCGTGTGTGTGTGCAGTGAGCAGGCGTGAGCGGGACACCTCGCCTTCCACCGCTCAGTCTGTGTGCACAGTTAAAGCATGTGCCTGTCTGTCCCGGGGAAATCCCGTCCCATGGCCGTCAACGCCGATACCCGTGGTCCGACAGGACTGAGAAAGCTGCGTCGGAGGCAGCAACTGCAGATTTCCTGGAGCCTTTGTTGCTGCTGCTTGAGAGAAGATATTTTTGTGTTAGTGTAGTGACAGGTAGGCCAGTATGCTTGAAAGGTATCAGTAAGAGCAGCAATGAAAGTAAAGATTTTTTTCAACATAACACTTCTATATGATGAAAAGTAAGTATTTTTAAAAGTTCAAACAGTTCATTGCACCGAGGGCTCCAACATTCCTCCTCTTTAATGTTTCCAGTGAATGACAGCATTAATTCTTAGAAAAAAATGAGAGCTTGGTAGCCTTGGGGTCTTCCCGAATGAAGGCAGGAGGATCTTGTAACCCGGTGCCATACGTGCCACGAAGCCCTGGGCGATGAGCGTGGGCAGGAGCGGTGTTGGGTGCTGTCGGCTGCCATGACCAGCTCCTCCCCGCGCTGCCGGGCCGTCACCTCGGTGGCCTGGCAGGGACGGCGCAGCCTCGCCTGCCAAGCCCAGAACTGGGACAAGGGCTCTTTTCAGAGGAAACTTTCAGCTCTGCACTGCCCTGGGCTTTGTAGAAACTTGAAACTTCCCCGAAACTGCAGATTTAAAGCAGTTTCTGAAATCTCTCCTGAAAATTCCTCAAGTGTTTTGGATGTGGTGTAGGCCAACTTTCCTTACAGGAATTGGAAATTTCCGTAAAAGAATTTCCATGGCAGAAATGGCGAAGAGGCAGCACTCGTAGAATTAAGCCCATTCACGAGTGAAGTATGGCAAGCACTGGCGTTTAACCAGCAGAACGCCTCTTTATTATATTTACAGTGAAAGACAATATATTTTCACATTTCTTTTTGAGTACATACATTGTGTAAGTGGTACATTGTGGAACTTCTGAAAATTGAATAGCTGAAATTTGTATAGCTTGTTAATCCATGACTTCACAATTTTAATTTATTTTTATTGTGTTTCTGTGTAAGTTTTCCAAGAGGAGGAGGAGGAGTAAAACAGGAGTCCCCCACGGGTCTAGCCGCGTAGCTCACACATAGACATAGCTCACAGGCCTTTTCCATTTAAATTATTGAAGCAACAGTTGACATGTTGTCACCTCTTGTGTAGATAAGGCAGGCAAGATACATCTCACAGATGCTGACGGTGTAGTGAGGGTTGGATTTTTTAGGAAGAGAATGCACTTTAGTGGCCTCTTCCTCCTCTCTTGCTTTCAGTCAGCTTTGTCTCAGCGCTCTCTCTTTATTTTCAGCTCTTCCCATTCACTTCCATCAAGGTAATCAAAGGCTCCAAATCAAGCATCTTAAGGACCACTGGAGTCCATATGCTTGATTTGTCCTGATTTGTTTACTAGTCCTTGGCCTTTAGAAGGACCATCCTAATAGCAGGACATGGGCACAAGGACTTAACGTGGTTTTGAGTCTGAATACGGGCATCTGTCCCCACGCCTTGGGTTTCTAACCCACAGCTCCTCGTCCAGCTGGCGCTATCTTGATGTCCCATCCCTATTCCAAGAAGCTGTGCCCAAGACCTGAGTCCTCCCCAGCTTGGGCAGTCAGTTTGCTGTCCAGTCTCTGTTACTGCCTTGCCCGGACGTGTTACTTGATCCACGTCAGGAGGGTTGGAACTAGATGATCTTTCAAGGTCCCTTCCGAGCCAAGCCATCCTGTGATCCTACCCTCTCTCTTTCCTCAGCACACAGAATTTTTATGGAATCTTTCCAGTGTCAGGTTTGCCCAGACATTGAGAACATGTGAGCTTCAGCCCTGGTGGTTCTTCATCAAGGCAATTCCAGGGCTTGGTGCTGTTGCCTCCATGGTTCAGTTCTCTTCCCTCTGTTTCTTGTTGGGTTACCTTTGGGGGTTTTTTATTTTTATTTTTCCAGCATTCCTATGCTCTTGGTTCAATGAGCCGTCCATCTCAGTTTCTGCTCTCTTTCCTTGTCTCAGCTGTCATTTCATTAAGTCCAAGTCCTTTTTCTTTTGGTCATTTTTGCGTAACTAATGTAAGAGAACTTAAGTAGTGCCACAGTTCATAGCTATGTAATGTCTTAAAGGTTCGTATCAATGTTACAGTTCCCAAGGAGGGCCTGAAGAGTCAATCTTTGTTTGAAGAAATCCGTATGACATACGTTAAAGAGCTGGGAAAGGCCATCGTGAAGAGAGAAGGGAACTCAAGCCAGAACTGGCAGCGATTTTATCAACTGACTAAACTGTTGGACTCTATGCATGTTGTAAGTTCTTAAATGAATGCTGGAGACGTTCCAGATAAATAAGTTGGGATATGACAGTCATCTCTCTCTTTTTTTTTTTTTTTTTTTTCCTCCCCTTACTTAAAGGGATAAATATTGGGGGGTGTGGGGGAAGGTGGGGCGGTCATGCTCCCCTACTGTCTAACTAAAAGCTAATTGAAAGAGGTGAACACGGTGCTTTCAGGCTACTTTTGCAGTGGACTCCACAGCAATTCATTTGATAACTAATATAATTTTCAGTCTCTTTAGTTTTTAAAAATTATGTTGCTTTGAAATGGAGGAACTCAGAAATTATCAATGATTTTGCAGTAGTAGCAGGGATGTGAAGTTTAAAACCAGTATTACCTCAGAGACAAACTATTCAAGAACTTATGGAATTGCTTGAAATTGCATTAAAATAAGGCATCGGGGTTTAATATTTACTATTATATGTTATATATTTCATAATACCATATATTTACTATTTTTAGTATTAGTAGTGGTCTAATTTTGCAAGGAATTTCAGAATTCAGGCTGTCGTCTTTTGCGGTACGTACTCCAAATTGTGCATAGAGTACAAAGTAGTCCAAGTAGTGTTTAAGCTGGATAAGGCAAGGGAAACTTTGAGACCTCAAAATTTTATTTTTTTTTTCTTGTTAGCATACCAAGCACCTGGAAAGATCTTATTGAGCTTATCCATATGTACGTTACTTGCGTGCTAGAACGGGAATTGATACAAATTCTCTTCAGTAGTTGTAAAGAACTTGCACAGTCCGTTTGCTTGTTTTATATTAGAATGCCACTGACGAGACTTACTAATTAAAATGAAGCTAATTGCGCACGTCTGCCCGGCGCTGTAAGTATTATCTGAGCCGGCCGCGAGGCGTACGTAGGGTAGCTGGCAAAGCAGCCACCGCGCTGGCCTGCGCTGCAAGAAGTTAGGAAGAAGGAAGGATGTAGGTTAATAGCTCTGCTGTATGTATTCGTGTGAAAGTAATTCTTTGCTTTATCACTTGTAGGTGGTTGAAAGTCTTCTGAGCTTTTGCTTCCAGACATTTTTGGATAAATCCATGAGTATTGAGTTCCCAGAAATGTTGGCAGAAATCATCAGCAATCAGATGCCAAAATATTCAAATGGAAATATCAAGAAGCTCTTATTTCATCAAAAGTGACTGCCTTAATACAAAAGGGTTGCCTTAAGAAAACGTCAAATGATAGCTTTTTTTTTTTGTAAAGAAAAAACCTACCAGACATTAATTTTGTCCTTGCAGCGGTGTTTCTTTTGTAATTATGCACTACATGTGGTTTACAGAGGGCCAAGATTTAGGCTATAGAAGCAGCGGATTTCTCACATTTGGTAAAAAAACTGGGGAGAAAGGAAAGGAAAATAAACCTTATTTGTCCGAAATTATCTATCTCCCCTCGTGTAACATCCATGGATGCATCAAAACCACCGGTGACAAGATCTGAGGCTGTGTTACGAACATTCTGCTAATTGATTTCTGCAGTTGGCTGGAGACAATTTCCTAGGCTTTTTTTTTTTTTTTTTTTTTTTTTTTCCAGTAAAGGTTTTGGGTTTTTTTTTTTTTTTTAAAAGTTAAGGTAGCATTTTGGTTTATGCATGTAACCTGAAGAAAGTTTACAAGTGTATATCAGAAAAGGGAAGTTGTGCCTTTTATAGCTATTACTGTCTGGTTTTAGCAATTTCCTTTAACTTTATATACCGTGAACTAGGCTTGTTCATTTTTTCTTACATAATTTTTTTGTAATACTTCAAGATGCCTATTGTACAGCTGGTTTTTTAAGGTGGGGCAGCTCGTAGCTTTCCTAAATGACCTCTAGACATTAATCCTTGAGTATATTCATGTGAAAATGGGTTGGGCTTTTCTAACCTAATAGCTTTGAACTGTCAAAGTGACCATAAAGATTTGGCATTTTTTTAAGGGCCAGGGTGGGTGCAAGAACACTCTCAGATCTAAACAGGCACGGATGAAGCAAATACTTTTGGTATATGTGCAAAGGTGGGTATGTACAAAAGTGGATATGCAGATTCATAGAAAATTAACCCAGTCCTAACTGGATGTAAACGAGGAGATTATTTTATATATTGAAAGAAAAAAAAAAAAGCCTGATTTTTGCATATAATGCAACAGCCATAACTATAGGAGTCACGGGCTGCATTGATGCCAAGAAGATCAGTCCTGACTGCCCATCAGGAAATTTTTAGGAAAATATGCATAGCTTAAGAAAAGTTTACTTCTGTGTGGAGAAACTCACATTTTCTATACACTTAAATCTATCATCATACAAGTATATATGGAAAAATACCATTGACTTACGCGGCAGACCTGTAATTATGCCCAGTGGTATGGTTTTGTTCTGTTTTCTTGTATCGATTCTAGAAATCTCTTCTTTGGCGAGATGTTTACCGTCGTGCAGGCAGTAGAGCAGAGCAGCTGCGCTGGCTGCAACTCTGGATATACAGGCTCCAAACCCGTGCGGTTAGAGACCCATTTTCACACCTCCACCCGCCACCGACCGGCTCATCCTCTTTCCTGGAGAGCAGGAAAGCTCCGCTACTGATTTTGTGGTCTTAGAGTCGTATGTCAAACTTTCTGTCTTTGTAAGGCTGCATCCCTTCATACCGAATTACTAGCGTGCCATAAAATTACCATAGGTCTTGTGAATTTCTCCTTGTTGCCATTGATAACTGTATTTTAAAACGTTTAGAAGCTGTAGTAGCCTTTTCTACGTGCACCTTAACAATTTTCTGTATCTCAAAATTTAAATATTTACTAAGCCACTCTAAAATTTGATTTTTACTCCAAGTGGCCAGATTATTTGTGTAATAGAAATGAGAAAGATCATCCGAGAAAATGCAAAACCTAATATATTTTTATATTTAGTTATAGTTTCAAATATGTATAATCGGTATATTCGCTGGTCTGAGAAAAGAAGGGAAGGGCTACTGCAGCTTTAAAAGCATTTTATTAAATGATTGTAAAATAGCTTGTATAGTGTATAATAAGGATGATTTTTAGATGACAGATTGCTTTATCATGATACATGTAATTATATTTTTTGTAGGGGTCACAAATATGCTGAATGGTAACCCGTACAAGTTGTGGTTTGCCTGGAGGTAGTACTGGAGGCATCGGTGTTCAATATCCAAAGAAGTACTCTGTTTAGAAAGGAAAACCTGTGTTCAGTGGATGTTTTTAGAGTTGATTTTATGTTTCTCAAATCACTGTGTAAAAATTCAAGTCGGAGCTTGGATGGAATACTCCTATCTGTATGGTTGGTTACCATTCACGATTCACTGCTTAAAATCAGACCTCCGCTGCAAAAAATGTAAGCCGGAACGCCGCGTGCGTGCATGCATGCGCCTCTGAACATACGGGGTTAATTTCATATACAGCCTCACGTACCACAGCAAAAACAGCTTGATAAATCTGGCAATAATGCACATACAGGTACCAGCAATATGTAAATATAGAGCATAGGTTGTTCACGATACACTAGTACATTTCTAGCGTTTGGCAAAAGTTTGTTTCCAAGTGAAATAGGAAACTTAAATTTTCATCCTTTCTTAAATCTCTTTTTGAATGTTATAGCTAAGAAAAGATACTATATTCAGTACTTTGGAGTAAAACATCTTTAATAAAAAAAAAAAAGTAACCATTCTCTTCTCTTTGATCTGTAAAGAATATGTACATTTTGTAGCCGTTCAGGTAAAGTTCAGTATTTTAATTACAACTGCCCGACCAACTCGATGACGATATTCACGTGGCCCCTTCCAGATACAGATAGGAGTTTCGTACCGTTTGGTTTCAGGTGGGATCTTCCGTTAAGAAGAAAACTGTTCTTTTTTGAGAATGGTTTTAAAAAGTGCATGCCCGGATACCTCGATCTGAGCTTGCGTGAAAGGGCGAGTGGGTGCGGGCGTGCGCGCGGGCGGGTGGGTGCGCGGGCACAAACGTTTGTGCATTTGTATACACAAAGATACGAAGCTTTTTGGTTTGGTGTTTTTTTTTTTTTTTTTGCCAGCAGAAAAGTAACTACAGTGAGCACGAACAAATTATCACCTTGAGAGAACTGGTAACATAGGAGAAGAGAGGCTCTCTACCCCCTTTTCGTCTGTATGACTGTATATTCATTTTGAGTTTATGGATTTAAGGAAAAAAAAAAAAATAACAAAAAAAAAAAAGGGAACTGTGACGTTAGAAGAAAGCAATCGTCCTGCACGTGCTGTTAAGTTTTAAACTTCACAATTAAAAATATGTAGTGCTTTAGTGGGCAGTGAGCAGTCCATGTTCTGTGTATCCGTAGTCCTTGTAGCAGTGGGTAGTATCTGCACTCTGGATAAAGCAGGGAGAATTCTGACTTTGTCTCTTCAGTGCCTTATCACAAAGTGCATGCATCCGACCGAGGGACGGCCGCCGCCGGCAGCTCAGGACACACGCGTGCTGCGTGGTGGAACTTGCACACGACGAACGCTAGGAATGGCCTTACGTAGGGAAGCCAGGGAGCGGGGACGGAGAGGGAGCTGCTGCCGGTCTCGCACAGCCTGGGTATCGCCCCAAGCAACAGCCACAGAAACTGCGGTGTCAGGGGGAGCCCTGCAGCTGGAAGGGAGAGGGAGGGAGGGGGCTGGGAATTAGGTGCCAAGTGAAGCCGAAAAATGACCTCGCCATGTTCACGGAAAAAGGTGGAAAACAGGAGGAAGTGCCTGGATGAACGTCAGTGAAATCCTGTTGCCCGTAGTCGAACTTCAGCGAGTGAGGACTTCAGGGTCATACCTTAGAGTGAGATTTTTTTTTTAAAAGGCTGCGTGTATTCTATACTAGTTAAGCTCTATCCTTAGTCCAGTCTGCAACCAGGTGTTACTGAGCCATCGATGTTACATAGGAACCAAATTTTCCAGAAAGGACTAGGGCCTCTCGAAAACAGCAAGAGGCACTCACTTTCTGATGAAAGGCTGTGTGTATGAAAATATCCCCCACCCCCAAACTAACCCGCATAACAGCATAGAGTCAGCCATGTGTCATTATTCTATTTTGTATATTAAACAAAAGATATATACTGGGGACAAATCCTATATCATACCGGTGTATGGCATTATTAAAAAAAAAAAAATCATTATTTTTATCACAGTAATTTTAAACAGCATAAAAAAAAATTAAACCAGTGACTTCTGTTTAAAAATAAAAGTTGTAGTTTTTTATTCATGCTGAATAATTCTGTAGTAACAAGTCTGTAGTTTTCACCGACTCAGTGAAATGTTGGACTGTAAAAGCTTGTGTGGAATTGTTGAACATTTATTTTTTCATTTAAATTTGCTGTTCTGGTAATACAAAGCCACACATCTGTACAGAAGTTGCAGTAAATGTGAGCCATTTACAGCAATGCCGAATAATGGACAGAAACCATATAATAAAATTCTGCTTTTTTCATTAAATGGCTCCAAAATGCTTTTGTAGAGTTTTTGCGTTGTGCCTGGAAAGGGTCGGTTCTGCCAACTGAGTTCATCTCTGGTGTTTTCGTTATTTGCCTCGTACACAAAAATGATTTATACTGAAGCTAATGGCTGCTGCCGTGAGGTTCTAGAGTGGGAGAGTTTCTGATAATTAAGTTCAGATTAACGATTTAATTGAGAAATCACCCCTTGCGTTTCCCGAGCATGCTGCATTTGCCATTGCATTCGTACCATCCCTTGTGGGGGGAGGACCCTGCGCCGCGGTTCTCGAATGGCATCGAAAGCGGCTCTGTGCGTCCTGTAGAGGGGCATGAAGCTGTCGGGAGAAAAAGGGCACAAAGTATATTTAGGAGGAAAAAAAAAAAAAACCTAAATTGATTTAAAATGGACTTTCCTCTTGCAGTGTTTCTTAACCATTTCATGCTTGGCAGGATGTTGATAAAAGCTCCTGTGGAGGCAGCTACCGGCTGCCAGAACGTTGGCGACAGACGGAAAATACGATGGGAAGCGTTGAGTGTTCTCGTTGTACATCTCCACGTCGGCCACGCGTGTCTGCCCACACACCTCCTCAGGCCTGCTCCCAACTCGTGGAGTGGCCTAAACTTGCATTGCAGTGGTAAAAGGACGGCAGCGCTGTGGGTTGGCTTCACAACCAAACTTGTGAAAAAGTATTTCCTAAATTAGGAAAACAAACTGTGGATGGGTGGCGAAGACACCTCGCTTGGGGTTCAGAAGGTCTCATGGCCCCAGAACAAAAACCACTGCCATAAAATTCCTTTCCTGCCATGTGACCATTCGAGTTTTTAAAAAGCAATGTATCTTCAAACCACCAGTAAATAAAACTGCCGAGGTTTTTTTTTCCGTAACACAGCTCATGCCATTGAATAGCAGTGTGAGATTCGTGCTGTAATAAAATCTCATTTAATAGCAACATAAAATGCCAGTTTCCCAGCTGGGAATGAGTTCTTTTGAATTGTTTGCAATTAAAACAGAGGCTTACATAAATTTCACTTTGGTACTTTCCCAGGCTAGGTGGCTGTAGCTTGGGGTCGGAGGCAATAGGAGAACAGGATTTATGGTAACTACATGAATTCGTGTAACAATTAGGAAAAGATGCTTTAAGGAGCTGCATCAGGTATTAAGATAAAGTAACCACGTTGTGGCTGCAGCACCAGCTCGCGGTCTGCACTGGCAGAGACCCTCGGTTAGCAGGCGTCCTCCCATTCCACCCAAAGCCCAAGTTGTCCTATTGTGTTTCCACCAAAAGCCGCTGAAACAAGGGGTACAGAGCCCCTTTCCATGTAGGGTCCCCGCATCTCTCCTGGGCACGTCCCCTTCCCGCAGGGTCAGCCGTTGCTCGGAGCGTGTCCGAAGGGGACACGGTGCCCTCCTGCCCCATCCCTTGCTTAGGGCCAGGGTTTAGTGGTGGGATGGCAGGGTTAGGGGAACGGTTGGGCTGGGTGATCTTAAAGGGCTTTTCCAACTTAAACGATTCTGTGATCCTGTGGTGGGCTCGGGGTAGCTGCAGGGAGCGAGCAGCCCCTTCTCACGTCCCATCTTATTTTGCAATCCTTTCTTCTAGGAAATTTGGATGAAACCCAGCATGAGATTGAAATTTGTGATTGTTTTGTTTTGTTTTGTTCACGCTACCCTCATAAAATGATGGAATTTCAGAGTAGTTTGGAAACGATGCCATTAAATGCCATTTTTACAGTTTTGTCATTTAAGATTTCCCAGTTTGAGCACTCCTGACTTCATGTTTGCCTCCAGCACAGCCCACAACGCACTGGTTTATCCTTAGCCATTCCCCCGCTTCAGCGTGAGGTTGCGTCATGTTCCGGGCACACCGACAGCTTTGCTACCTAAGGCATGAGTACTGGGATTTTACAGGGAAAAAAAAAAGTAAGACTCCCTGGCTGTACAGTTGCCAGTTATCCCATAGTGGCCTCCAAGATGTTCCTAGTGCTGGTGCTCCTGCCAAGCTCCCGGTGGGGGACTGGCCTTGGGAGTACCCGGGATGCCTCAGATGCAGGTTCTGCGGTGCTGCTGTGGGACCCCAACCGTTTCAAGTCCACAAATCCAAGATTCAGTCACTGCTGGCTCCTTCAGGTCCAGCTGCCCCTCATTCTCAATGTGCCTGTTTCTGCCGGTTCCTGTTCCCCGTCCCCTGGAACCAGGGAGCAGCTCGATGCTGGTCCTCAGGGTCCCACCACTCAACCTGTCCTCCCCTTAGACCCAGCCCCAAGGGAGCCACATGCTAAGACCAGCCCAGGACGAGGCCCTCAGGGGCTCCCAGGCTGTCCTGGTGCCTCCAAACCTGCTGATCCCATCATCAGTGATGTGCTGGCCCATCAGACCATCTCCCATGCCCAGGCTGGCTCCATCCAGCATCCCTCTGGTCACCTACCCGCTGACCCCAGCTCAACTGAAGCTTGAATGACTTACTGGCCGCAGGACGGTGGCTCCTTGCCAGGAGAAGTGGCTGCTGTATCTGACTGTGTTCGGGAGTCTCTCCCGGTGTCCCTCAGCGCAGATGAGCAGTGGGGCTGAACTCCTGGGGACCAGCCTCCCCGCCATGCTGGCCCCTGGCCGTACTGGGCCCTGGTGCTCCTGGTGAAGGTGGCCCCATCCAGGCACCACATGCAAATGCAGCCGAGCTCTCCTGCCAGAGCGCTGGCCGGCTTCGCTTCCCCGGGGTCACACATCAAGTGCGGTTCGTTGCCTTATTGAGATTGCTGATAATTACATTTATTGGTGGACCTGAAAATATTATAGATAGTAGGTGTACATTTTAAAATAAGTGTAAATATTCAACTGTAAAAGTGTGACTGGAGGAACAGTAATTAAAGAAACACTCCAAAGGGGAGTAAAAGTTTGTGGAGCTCAAGTGGCCAAGCTCATGGAATAGCTGATCAACACTTGCTCTGAAGCAAATCCGGAGGAGCGGTGATGGTCATAAATATTCTTACCTGATATATCACAGACCTTGCATGGCCCCAAGGCATAATTAAGGATATTCTCCAAGGTCACAACAGGGAACTTAAAGTTTAAAAAAACTAACAAGTAAGTGGAAGCCTTCTAATCATAGGCTCTGTTGATTCAAGATCAAACCACATGAAAAGATTGAGGGGAAACTGCTGATGCAGCATCTACTACAGCCACTAATTGCGTTGCTAATGCGATAGGACAGGGGTCAGACTTTCTGCTTGGTGTGATACATGGTGAAAAAAGTGCCCCATTGTGCCCAATTAAGTGACGTGGGCATGGCCGGGAGCTGGCTTTCAGTCGCCAGAGCTGCAACTGCAGGAGGAGCTGAGCAAGGGGGACTTGGATCCCCTCCAAGCCTGCTGCCAAACGCCGCTTCTGCTCCCTCCGGCAGCTCAGAAAATCCATGCTTGCTTTTTTTGCCTTTTTTTGTTTTGTTTTTTTTTTTTTTTTTTTCCTTTCCTAACACTTGCTGGGAGGTTTTTGGTTTTGGCTCAAGCGGGATGTTTCTTTGTTTGAAGAAGAATGAGTGCGAGCGGGCTGGGCATCAGGCTGCTGTGGGACTGCTCGTCCCGCGCTGCTGCAGCCGCCCCTCGGCTCCCCGACTGGGAGGCTCTGCCCTGCCCTGGGAGAAGTCTTTGGGTCCGATGAGCCATGGCAGGAAGGGTTCGTGCTCGCAGGGATGGCAGATGCCCACTCGGTAGCATCCCTGTGACAGCCACACAGTGGTCGGGACACTGGGGAGCAGGGCCAGCTCAGCTG